ACGAATTAGTCGGGGCATAGCTCCGGATACCGTGACTGGCTACCAAAAATTAATAAAAAAAAGTTAATTACATGGTTTTGTCGAATTGACTGTCGATGTTAATAACGTTATATTAATAGCCGCAAAGTGGCAAAATCTTGAAGAATCTTGCACAAGGGCTTTCGATCTGTCTTAGTGAGAATATGCCTTTTTGTAGCTGCCAATTGTTACCCGTGATTAGATTCAAGTAAAAAGGTAGATTCTATTGTTTCATTGGTTGACATTATTACAATATATTACTTAATAGAGATACTAACTTAAAAAAATTATTAGGCGGGTCGATTTGTATACTGTATTTTTTTTTTTTAATAAATAGTTATACTAGGAAACATATGATCACTACGTCAAAAAAAGGCTTCAGATAGAAGCGTTATCGAAAACAGTGTTAGCTGAAGACCGAATCTTTAAATAACGCTTTAAAAGCATTATGTGAAGAACCTTTCACATAACACTTTTTTATAATAAGCGTTATGTGAAGAATTTTCACATAACACTTTTTTACATGAAGCGTTATGTGAAGAACCTTTCACACAACACTTTTTTTATATTAAGCGTTACGTGAAAAATCTTTATATAACACCTTTTTATATTAAACGTTATCTGAGGAACCTTTCACATAACACTTTTTTATATTAAGCATTATATACATATATTCTTTAAAAAAATTATTGTTTAATCGTTTGACTTGTCATTTTGGACTGTAGATTTCACAACAAGACCGAGATTTACATAACTGGCGAAATTGCAGATACAATTAGATCGAGTACTAAATCAAGTAATTCCATTTATTTACTACTTTAGTTCCGTCGGTGCGTAAATCTTCAAATTTGTGTCGCAAATTTTACATTTTACAGTACTCATAAAATGTTTTATTATTTGACGCGTGTCAATTTTAGGGGAAATGCTACGGTCCCATTATGGTACCATCTCGTCTGATATTTTAACTGTTGAATTCACATATAGATAAATAAGATAAATTATTCAACAGTGGAAACACCCGATAACATGATACGGTAACAAGACTTTTTCTACAATTTTAAACTGGTTGGTTAAAAAGGTGGAGAAAATTTTTGCTAATAGGATCCAAGGGGGCCTAATTGGCGGCCGTTGGATTCACTAAATCATGTGCGTTTATATTTTAAACACCGGACTTTAAAACTCGTCCCACTTGCCTGCCACTTTTCATATCAGCTTTTTACCATAAAGTATTAGTTATTTTAGTTAATATACTAATATATGAAGTCAATTTAATGACGGCCGTTCTTTAATCTATTTTAAATAATTCTATTATCATATTTCTTAAATCATAAAAATATGCCAGAGAATATTTCACCTTTTCCATCATAGTTGTATATAAATACAATATTGTAGAATATTGTATTGATAATTTATTTCTATAAAGGACACAAATTTTTTTATATACTTATAAGGGAAAAGACATAAGCAATATGTAACATTTTGTGCATGCTAGTATTTTTTTTTTAATCTGATACTTAATTAATTATTCAGTAATTTTTTTATGAATAGATGTGAATTATAATTAATGCACATGAGAATTCCTCAATATATATCCTCCCTATATATTATTCTCGAATGCGCTGAGCCTACATGGCTGCTTCTGGTACTTTGAAATCCTACTTGGCAAATAATCATGCTTTGTAATTAGGTTTGGAAAAATAATATTGATATATTAATAATTAATAATCTAGGTTCAGACATTCCATACATTTTAAATAGCTAACTTAGGTATTTTAATATCACTTGTACTAATATAACCTTTTAATTCTTTGTAATTTTACATAGCGAGACATTAAGTGACTAATATATCCTTAACTTTTGATTTGTTTCCTTCAATTAGTTATTTAATTGTAAATGTATTTTAAAAGTTGATAACTTTTGTATTTCTTATCGGTTATATATATATAATATATCAAATTAATCATCTTTTGATGATCTTCGATTTGACATCCATATTGTATATATGAAATAAATAAATTATATTTATCTTTATAATAATATAAAATAATAATATTTATTAAAATTCATTAGAAAAATAAAATTATTTCTCAATTGATATATTTATGTTTAATGTAGTTATATGTTGTAAGTTAAAAAATTATTATAATATAACACAAGTAAGTCGCACAAATAAAAAAGTGTCATACTAAATATATAATAATATATATACTTTTATAAAAGGTATTTCAATTTTCAATTATTTTTTTCATTAATTTTAGATTTTAAGAAAAATTAGCAAGCACCCGTGTAATACACGGGCGTTGTACTAGTTAGAGAGTATTACTCAATATATTAGAAAATATTAGAGAATGTTCTGTATAAATAGGTAAATTATCATAGTACTTGGTAGATCAATAATTGTATTTTTACATGTAGGTAATTTATGTAAAAATTGGTAATACTTAACTATTTTATAATTTATAGTAGTAAATGGAAAAAGTAACTTACATCCTTTTTTTTCTTATAAATTTGAACAAATGACGAATTTGTAATATTATTTGAACAAAAAATAATAAAAAACAATATGAGCGTCCATAAATACATGTGTTCATAATGAACAATTTTGTTTTATATATAGTTTACAAGCACAATACTGTGCACTACACGTGTGTTGAGTTAAGAAATATATGATAAAATTATTGCTAAAATAAAATTTTTATTTAAAAATTTTGATGGACTAAAATTGATGAAAAAAATAAGAGGAATAGACAGTTTGTAAATAAAAAATTAAGAAAGAAATATAAGATAGTAAGATTGTTACTTATCCGAACATAAAGGAAATATGTACTGTATAAGAGAAAAAAAACAACAAAATTAAATGTAAACTTACGTTGTTTGAAAAAAGTTATTTATTTCTAATATCAAGTCTAATACTAAAGTAAAAATGAATCTACAAACAATATTACAAAGCGTAGATTTTCGCCATGTCAGTATCTAAAGCGTGCCAGTTTACCACTTAATCTCAACAAGTTTTGAATTAATATATAGAGAGGAATGTGGAAGATTCCTGCATGAAACACCTGTTTATTTTTATATTTCATCTCATGTTTTATTCCGTTGGATGCATGACGACACGTGTATAAATATTACGTCATCATAAATATTTTTCATGCATCCAATAATATAATAAAAAAAACGAAATGAAATACAAAATTATAACACGAAATATCACCACATGAACATGATTTGAACTATAACAACACCACAATGTACTATGCAACTATCAAAATATATACGGAAAGCAATTCTTTACATAAATAGGATCTTTTTTTGCCACGCTCGATCGATTTGCATGCACCTAATATATTGACCTCCCACACAAAGGAATCTTCCTTCAAATTGGGAACTTCACATGCATTTTATTTATTTATTTTTTTTTTTCTATTTTTCAATTTTTGAGCTCTATAAATAGACCCTAAACACAACAAAGAGCTACACAACTCACAAACATTTCCCTCTCTTGCTCTATTTAGTTCATTTTTTCCTCTTCTTAACAAGAGACTACAAATTAGTCTTTCAGAAGCATGGCCAAGACTCTAGCTTGTTTGTTCTTCGCCCTCGTTATCCTATCAATCAATGTCTTTCATATCGAGGCCCAAAATTTGAAAGAAGGTCGAAATTCGAACAGTGGCCAAGTTAAGTATGTTAAAACCTTTCCGAGCCCAGATGAGTACTTACGAGGGCACAGAGTTAGACTCGATGAGGAATACCCGAATGCTTTCCGGCCCACGAACCCCGGCCCAAGTCCGGGTATAGGTCACTCGAAACTTGAAGAAGGATCCGCTTTTCGACCCACGAATCCTGGTCCGAGTCCCGGTATAGGTCATCCTAACTAAGCATAACTAAATATGTTGTCTTACATGTTATGATTGAAAACAATTGTTATGTATTAGTTAAGATTATATATATATGTGTGTTTGGATTGGTTAGTTAATTAGCCAGTTTCCATTTTATTTGATTTCTATGCTAGCTTTTATTACATTTCTCATATGCAGATTGTAAATCTTCCTTATTTTATATATTTTATTGTTGTCAAGTTGGTTATTACTGTAAGAGGAGCCCATCAACTCTTGTATGATTTTCTTAATTTTTATAATATGATCCCTTCTCTTATAATATATATATGTATATATATATATATATATATATATATATATATATATATTTATATATATATATATTTTAATAAAGACTTCAAATTAGTTATTTGCATGCGGAGATTTTTGTACGGGATTCAAGCAACCTCGTAAGCTATGGAGAGTGGGTTACCACTTAAATTACGTGTAGTAGCATTAGTACAAAAGCCAGCGGTAACCGCGCGCATATATACAGGTGATCACTTCCCACTTTTAAAGTATCAATAGTGGTTATAAGAAATGCAATATCAGAATTGCTAAGAATTCCACTTATGATGAGCTGGACAAAAGCTGATGGGTTGGACAATGCATGGATACGTGGATGATGATGATGTGCATGTAAAAATGCATCTGAGAGGAAGAGCAAAATGGAGTTACTTTATTGTTGGAATTATAGGAAACATAGTACACTTTGATCTAAGGGACCACACCTTTTCTTTTTTTTTTCTTACAACCTTAGTTTCAGCTTTTTTGATTCCTTTTTATCTTTCTCTCTTTTACCCTTTTATAGGGCTTTCTTTTCTAGTATATATAGTCTTTTGTAGTTTGAAAATCAGAAATATAATATATTGTAATTATTCAGAATACTTTTGAGTTATGAACAAGAAGATGTTCCATCAGTTCCTTGCTTTACTTTTTATTATGGTATCAGAGAAGTAAGAGACTTTCCCTTACTGTCTCTCTACTTGATATTATAATATGGAAGATCAAAGCAACCCCTTGTTCCTCAGTCATGGGGAAAATCCAGGTCAGGTTTTGGTTAGTCAACCACTCACTGCAAATAATTATCACACATGGAGCAGAGCCATGTATGTTGCTCTTTCAGCCAAAAACAAGTTGGGATTCATAGATGGCAGCATACCAAAGCCAGAAGAAGGAGATCCCACATATTCGAGTTGGATCAAATGCAACTATATGGTGCTGGCATGGATCTCTAACTCCTTATCCCCAGATATAGCCAACTATGCTCTATATGCAGATTCTGCAGCTCATGTGTGGAGAGAGCTGAAAAGAAGATTCTCAAGAACAAGCAACAATAGGATCTACATGCTAGAACAACAACTTATCTCAACCAAACAAGATGGAAGTGCAGTAAGCATCTATTTTGCCAAACTGAAATCCATATGGGATGAGATCTCAGTTTATGAAGAGGCTTGTGTATGCACAGCTAACCCTTGTGGTGCACTAACCACCATGAACAAGAGAAGAGAAACCAGACGAGTCATGCAGTTCTTAATGGGGTTGGATGAATCCTATATCACCCTGAGAAATCAAGTGTTGCTCAGAGAGACTTTACCAGATTTGGACGATGTTTTCAACTTGGTGATTCAAGAGGAAGCTAACAATGAGCTATCCAGTATGACACATCATCCAGCTGATTCTGCTGCTATGATGGTGAAGGGAGATATCTCTGAGAAACAAGGTGGTGTCCATAATCTTCAAACTGCAGCTGCTGTAAACATGACAGAATATGTTCAAAGAAACAATCAAAAGGGAAATTTCAAACCATGGGTTAAGAATCCGCAAACTAAACCCAAGATGGTTTGCAGCAAGTGTGGCAAGAACAATCACACCATAGAAACCTGTTATGAGATCTATGGATATCCACCTGGACATAGGTACTCCAAATTTAAGTCACAAGCAATGGGGAATCGATTCAGTCATCATATGGCCAATCAATCTTCAGTTGAAGAATCAAATGATCAAAAGAACATCGCCCTCACCCAAGATCAAGTCCAACAATTGATGTTTCTCCTGCAGGGATCCAACATCAAGCCTAATCAAAGTTCCATAAGCTCAAAGTCTGTTTCTAATGAGTTCACTAGCTCAGGTAGCTCACACTATACCCATACTATTCACAGTTGTTTTGTTCACACCAAAAATGGATGGATCATAGATTCAGGGGCAACAGATCATGTGATTTTTTATCCATCACTTTACACCTCTCATACTCCTCTTCACAATACCCAAATCAGGCTTCCTAATGGAAAACATGTCAGTGCCAGCCATAAAGGAACAGTGCAATTAAATCCAAACATGCTCATTCATGATGTTCTATGTGTTCTTGATTTTACCTTTAATCTCTTATCAGTTCACAAACTTTCTACTCAACTAAGTTGTTTTTTGACCTTTGGACCCAATGGATGTATCATGCAGGAAGTAGGAACTTGGAGGAGGATTGGGACAGCTAAAGCTTCCAATGGTCTGTATTACTTCACTACCTCTGATCACTCAACCCTTGAAGGAAATTACCCTAGATATAATCATGTGTGTTCAACCAAAAACCAAGGCTTTTTGTGGCATCTTAGAATGGGTCACCCTTCTAGTGTCAGGTTGAATTTATTGCATGATTGTTTTCCAGCTGTTGCTAAAGATATAGGAGATTTTCATTGTGATGTTTGTCCCTTAGCAAAGCAAACTCATTTGCCTTTCAGGAATGAAAATCACTTTTCTGATTTCTGTTTTGATCTTGTGCATATGGATGTTTGGGGTCCTTTTCACTTACCTTCATTGAATGGTGCCACTTATTTTCTTACCATGGTGGATGATCATAGTAGATTCACTTGGGTATTCTTTATGAAAAACAAGTCTCAAGTCTTCACTATAGTTAAAACCTTTTATCATAAGGTCATTACTCAGTTTAATTGCAAAATAAAGGCCATAAGATCAGATCAGGGAAAAGAGTTTAGCATGAGTGAACTATTCATCCAAACTGGCATGCATCATCAACAAAGTTGTGCATATACCCCCCAACAAAATTCAGTTGTGGAAAGAAAGCATAGACATCTTCTAAATGTAGCTAGAGCTCTTAGATTTCAAGCTGGCTTGCCCCTTAAATTTTTGGGGGAATGCATTTTAACTGCAGCTCATCTCATAAACAGAACCCCTACACCATTGTTGAAAGACAAATGCCCTTATGAACTCCTATATTCCAAACAACCAAAATATGAACATCTTAAAGTTTTTGGATGTTTGTGTTATGGTTCTTCTAACCCTGTGCATAGACATAAATTTTCTGAGAGGACTCATAAATCTATCTTCTTGGGGTATCCTGATGGGATCAAAGGGTACAAAATCTTCAGTTTGGAACAAAACAAGGTTCTTATTTCTAGAAATGTGGTGTTTCACGAACAGATTTTTCCTTTCAAAAATGAGGAGAATAATGATGTTGCAAATTTTCCATTCTTTCCTGCCAAGCCTCATGATGATATAGATTTTGATTGCACCCAAAACCAAGGAAGTGATATGCCCATAATCCCTACGTAAAATGAAATTCCTGATTCAACACAAGAACAAAACACACCAAATGCTAATTCTCCTTCCACCTCACCTTCTACCTCACCTTCTACCTCACCTTCTGATGTTGCTCAAAATCCTTCACCTCAGTTAAGAAGATCTGTTAGGACAAGAAAGACACCTCCTCGTCTCAAAGATTTTCAATACAGACTCATTGGGAACTTAGCTGGACAGGATTCTCTTCCACAAAACTCCACATCAGGTACTCCTTATGATCTTTCACATTACTTATCCTACACTCATCTCCCACATAAACACCTAAAATTCATACTCAACCTAGCCACTGAAACTGAGCCTAAGAACTTTGATGAGGCTATGATGGATCCTAGATGGAGAACAGCTATGAAGGATGAGATCTTGGCCTTAGAAAACAACAAAACTTGGACACTTGTTCCTCTTCCTAAAGGAAAAACAGCAATAGGCTCTAAGTGGGTCTATAAAATAAAACACACTTCAAGTGGAGAGATAGAAAGGTTTAAAGCAAGGCTTGTGGCCAAAGGCTACAATCAAAGAGAAGGATTAGATTATTTTCATACCTTTTCTCCAGGAGCCAAAATAGCTACTGTAAGGTGTCTTCTCAGTGTTGCTGCTTTTAATGGATGGAATCTACATCAACTAGATGTCAACAATGCCTTCTTGTATGGGGATCTAACTGAAGAAGTGTTTATGAACTTACCAGTAGGTTTCAAGAATTCCACAGATGAAAATCTTGTCTGTAAGTTGCATAAATCCATTTATGGATTAAAGCAGGCTTCAAGACAATGGAACACCAAGCTCACAGATATTCTCAGCAAAAAAGGCTTCAATCAGTCAAAAGCTGACTACTCACTCTTTGTCCAGAAACTTCAAACTTCCATTACTATTCTTTTGGTATATGTGGATGACATAATTGTCACTGGAAATGACATAAACCAGATCAATTCTATTAAATCTTATTTGCAGGAACACTTCCAATTAAAGGATCTGGGCCACCTAAGTTATTTCTTGGGTATAGAAGTTTCAAGGAATGGAGATGCTATCTCAATTAATCAGAGGCAATATGCACTTCAAATCATTGCTGATTGTGGACTACTTGGGGCAAGACCTGTCAACACTCCAATTGAACAAAACCTCAAGCTATCTACAGACAGGGGGAACATACTACAGAATCCAACTGAATACAGGAGACTCATTGGGAGGTTATTGTATCTCACTGTCACAAGACCAGATATTTCATATGCGGTGGGTACCTTGAGTCAGTTTATGGAGAAGCCAACAGAATGCCACATGAAAGCAGCAATGAGAGTTGTCCATTATCTCAAAGGAACTCCTGGACTTGGCTTAAGATTTGCAAAAGGACAAAAGTTGCAGTTGAGAGCCTTCTGTGATGCAGACTGGGCAGCTTGTGTTGACACAAGAAGATCAGTTACAGGGTATTGTGTATATCTAGGAGACTCCTTAATCACTTGGAAGTCCAAGAAGCAAAGCACAGTATCCAGGTCCTCAGCGGAAGCGGAATACAGATCAATGGCATCAACTGTTTGTGAGATGGTATGGCTGAAATCTCTACTAAAGGATTTAGGATGTCATCATAATGAACCAGCTATGCTTTATTGTGACAATAAGGCAGCCATCCATATTGCTGAAAATCCAGTCTACCATGAGAGGACTAAACACATTGAGATAGATTGTCATGTGGTAAAGGAAAAGCTTCAAGCAAAGGTAATCAAGTTGTTCCATGTCACTTCCAAAAATCAATTGGCAGATTTGTTCACAAAAGGCTTAGCTGGTCCTCACTTTCAAGAACTTTTGAGCAAGATTGGAATAAGCAACCTATACTCCAATCTTGAGGGGGAATATAAGAAATGCAATATCAGAATTGCTAAGAATTCCACTTATGATGAGCTGGACAAAAGCTGATGGGTTGGACAATGCATGGATACGTGGATGATGATGTGCATGTGAAAATGCATCTGAGAGGAAGAGCAAAATGGAGTTACTTTATTGTTGGGATTATAGGAAACATAGTACACTTTGATCTAAGGGACCACACCTTTTCTTTTTCTTTTCTTACAACCTTAGTTTCAGCTTTTTTGATTCCTTTTTATCTTTCTCTCTTTTACCCTTTTATAGGGCTTTCTTTTCTAGTATATATAGTCTTTTGTAGTTTGGAAATCAGAAATATAATATATTGTAATTATTCAGAATACTTTTGAGTTATGAACAAGAAGATGTTCCATCAGTTCCTTGCTTTACTTTTTATTAGTGGTTCTTCACGTAAACTTGAATTAAAAAAGACATTGTATTCAAAATTGATGGAGACGAGATATCGGCTAGCATAATTGATTTAAGATATATATTTATTTTAATGTACCAAATGGTCTGATCGTGAAATTGCATGGTCTGTTGATTTTTGTTCTTTTTTTTTTTCGAAACGACAGATATTATTACTTGAATAAAATGTGCACAGAGTTCGGAGCTACAAGAGCTCTAGATGCAACAAAGCATGAGGAAGGATACAACAAATCCTTGATAATCAAAATAATAAGGTGAGTGGAGATTAACCTTGGTTAAGGCACCTGCTTAGAGACCAATGTTAAATTTCCACTCAACTCAAGCAAAGCCATCCCAGGAGGGATCAATGCCTAATGCAAAAATAACTAACCGCTGCACCCACCAAAGGGACCTAGTTAGTTATCAAAAGCCTACCCAAATAAAGAAAAAAAGCAACAGACCAAAACTAAGAGAAAGGAAACTAAATGGCTGCAAACTTTAACCAGTCTGCTAAAGCAATTCTAACTGTGTCTTCCTCTGATCTTAAAGATTTTTGAAACACACAAAGATTGCGGGTTTTCCACATCCACCAAAGGAGATAGCTTGATAATTGCAGACTGTCCTCCATGATTGGTTTGTGGGATGCAGTACAAAGAGAAAACCACCAGCTTTTGAAATGATATGTGTGTTGCTGAAGGCCTTCCCAGGACAATGGAGCTAATTTCCAGATCAATTTGGCTCTTGGACATATGAAGAACAAGTGCTCTTGAGTTTCAGTTTCTTCACCACACATCTTACAGGTAAGGTCCTCCAGGATGCCTTTGGTACCTAAGTTATGTAAGACTGGCAAAGTGTTGTTGCTTGCTCTCTAGAGAAAATGCTTGATTTTGTTTTTGGTTTTACGACTCCACATCCTTTGTCTAGCTTTTTTCTCTTCCAACTGATTAGCACTTGATTCAGCTATATCCATCTTTCTCCATTTTTGGCTAATAAGTTGGGAGTAAGTTGCTGAGACTGAGAAATTTCCTTGCTTGTTCCATACTCATTTCAGTTTGTCACAACAATGTGGATCAAGCCCTTCAATATTCAGGATGGATGCAACAATGTCAGGTGGGAATGTCTACTCAATCAACTCTCTATTCCATCTTCTTCCTGATTCTTCTATAAGATCTTTCACCTTTTTAAGCTCTGAATTTTGGCCAACTTCTTTAAATGCCTGCAAGCTAGGGTGATTTGGGACCCAAGGATGGTCCCAAATGCTCACAGAAATCCCATCTGTGATCTGGAATCTGACATCCTCCCTGAATTCATTTTTTATTTTCCACCAGCTAGTCCATAACCATGAACTATTTGTCTTTTCTCTTTGCTGTGAATAGGCATGTGTGAGGGAAGTACTTACCTTTTAGTATTCTGCTAAGCAAAAGTTGGGGCTGGTTTTGAATTCTCCACAACTGCTTGAATATCAGTGTTTTGTTAAAAGCGTGTAAGTCATAGAAGTTGAGACCCCCCCAGATCCTTAGGTAAGGTGAGCTTTTTCCAAGCTTTCCAGTGCACTCCTTTAGAAAGGTCAGCTCCACCAGAAATTGGAGAATACACTCGCAATTTTGCAGTTGACTGAGAGAGGCAGTAAAAAGCATGACAT